CGAGACGAAGTGAAAAGCAATGGTTCAACATCTCAAAAGGTTGAACCCTTTTTTGGTCGTCAAACCGTATCGGGTCTTGATGCTGTTAGTCCAATTTCTAAGATTCCCAGTAGCCAGCAATTGAATAACCAATCAGATGCAAATAATAATACATTAAAACAATCCACGACAGACAATGGACAGCAACATATGCTAAGAGGACATTCCGAACTGGTGCATCAAGTACTGCAGCAGCAACATCAAAAACTGCAGTCTCAAGAACAGCAACGTCAACAACAACCCCAAGAACAGGGCCAACACCGTAATCAAGGGAGTCAACAGCGACAAGGGACAAGGGCAGCAACGAGAGCAACAATAGCGGCAACTCGGGGACGAACAACCGATGGCAAAATCACAAGGATAGCAGCAACAACAACAAGAATAACAGCAAATGTAGATAGAAGAACACCATCCCCAAGGCAACAACAACAGCAACAGAAAATTCAAGAACATCATCAATCCAAGAAACAACGTCAACAAGAACCTCAGCAACAACGACAGCCGCAGCAACAACGCCGAGTACAACCACAACTAGAGCAGCCCGCGCCACAAGGACAATATCCGCCAGGTAGCCAACAGAAACAGGTACTGCAACAAAAAGAGCGCCATTTACAAGAGAACCAAAATCCACAGCAAGTACATTCCCCGGAACCTCGGTCTCAACAACAGGGGCAACCACAACAATACCATCAAATTCAACAACAGCAACCACAACACGAGGAGTTCGTGCCACAAGAACAACATCTTCCAGGGAACCAACAACAACGGTTACTGAAACCAAAAGAGCACCATTTAGAAGAGAACCAAAATCAGCAGCAAGTACATTCACCAGGAAACTATCAGTATCCGCAACAACAGCAACAACAACAACTAGAGCAACACAATCTTTCATTAAATTTTCAACCAGGACAAGGGAAAATACAACGAATTCAAGGACGTCAACAGCAGCAACAACAAAATCAGGGGCAACACCAGCGACTGGAACAACAATATTATCCATTAAACCAGCAACATGACAAAGGGCAACAACATCAAGAACAAACGCAGGCAATTAAACAACAACCGCAAGGGCACATACGACATGGACATACATATAAACAGCAACAACCACAACAACAGTTAAAGCAACAGCATCAGGAAACGCGACGTGAACAACTAGATAAACAGACTTACCCACAAAGTCAAAAGGATGGGCAAGTACAAGAACATCAGCCAATTCGTACATCTAGAAATGATAGTTCTCAACACCACCTTCAGGAACAACGGCAGATACAAAAGCATATCCCCGAAAACCCGCAACCACAACAACAACGACACAGGAACTTTCAAGGACATCAAGAATCTCTGCCTATAGCACAGCAGCGGCAACAACAACCCCGAGAATGGAGCGAACAACGAAACGAACACCATATTCAAGTGAGTCAAAATCGACAAAGGACAATGACAGCAACAGTAGTGCCAACGTTGGGGGCAGCAACACCTTCTCCAAGACAGCAGCAACAGCAATTTCTGGGACCTTATCAACGGGAGAAGCTAGGACATCTAGAACCACAGCCTCGACAACAACATCAAGAACAACGCCAAGTACAGAAGCAACAACAACATCGTCAAGCACAGCAACAGCAACGACAACTAGAGGAACGCGTGCAACAACAACAGCTACTGCGACCAAAAGATAACCATCTTCGAGAGAACCAAAAGCAGCAGCCTTACACACATCAACTACATTCACAAGAAAAGCATCAACAGCAACAAAAACCAAAGCAACATAATAACCCATTAAATCAACAACAAGGACAGGGAAATAAACAATTTAATGGACATCAACAGAATCTACAACATCAGAAACAACAACAACATCAGATGCAAAACCAATATCATACACTAAATCCAAAACAGCATCCAGAACATACACAGCAGCAAAAGCCAATAGAAACACCACCACAGAGGCCTTTGCATGTACTTCCTGGGCAGGCATATGAACAGCAGCAAGTAGAGCAACAGCAACCACAAAAGCAACGCCAACAAAGGCAGCAGCACGGTCAAGAACCGCAGCAAATTTATCGATCTCGAGCACAGGGGCAACAGCAACTAGAACTGAAACAATCTTCACAACTGCAACAACCTCAAAGACAGCTAGTTCACAGGTATCAAAACCACCCCGAAGAACAACAACAGCAAAACCAATCGTCACAAAAGCACACCAAAGAACAAAGACCGAGCTCCCTACAACTTCGAGAAAGATCAAGAACACCGCATAAAAGAGTGCTAGAAAATGAATCTGTACTTCGCAGTGATATTACTTTACAATCCATGGAAAACCAGAACAGTATTCGTGATCCCCTCTTTAATAAGGGTGGTAGCAGACTCAAGGGACGATTCCCTGAATATTTTGGCTATCATAGTAGCATGAGGAGTAGCCATAAATATCATACTGCATTAGAATCAAATCAAACGGCATCAAATCTGAATGATCCACCAGTTCTCGGTCAACAGACACGGCATAAAATGCTACATGATCAAACTGTTTCAGATTCTGCCAGTAAGGGACCACTCACGCCGCAGCCATCAAACTCTAATGTTTTATATCAGCCAGTTCGAGAAATCAGCGTAACAAAACAGCCTAACCACAAGTCACAGCGTTTGCATAATCGAGAACACATTTTTAGTCCAAGCCGATATCCCATTCCTTCTACAAACAATGCTGCCAGTGGTCGTCTGGACAGCCGAATGCCCGATCAAACTGGAACATTTTCAGAAAAAAACCATAGTAGAAGGCTTAAAAAAACAAAGTATACTCCCAATCCGGTTCAAGAAATAAAATATTCTCCCATAGAATATGATACATCTGGAAAATCTTTGCATACAAATACAGCATTTTATCATGACAAATCAAATAACTATCAAAAACTACGAAAGTCTCAGCCCGGAACGAGTTCCCATTCACATCATGCCCCAGATGTATCGATGTATCCAAAGAGGGAAAAAAATTCAGTCGAAGGAAATGAAATATTGCCTAGACAAAACAAATTAGCTTTATCGAGATCTGAGAGAAACAACACAGAAATACCATTATCTCTGCACACATCGCCGGCTTTGTCAAGTCTCAACTCACAAGTAAATCTTAATGGTGACACAAGACATACTGGTATCCATAATCATGGCCCAACTTATCAAACCACAGAGCAAAATGTAGTTTCAACCAATGTAGATACTGGAAAGATACACAATACTGGAAACCGAGTAACCTCTCATAATAACAAAAGACTGCCACAAATAGATCAGAGAGGTACAGGTATGGCTGACGTACCAGTAGCTTATATTAATGTCCCTAAGGTGTCGAATCTGGATAGATCTGTTTCAGCAAATGAGCATAAACAAAATTCTCTTATAGCTAAATATCCAGAACATGCATCTAACAGTTTAGATTCGGTGTTAAATCCCTCGAATTTTAGTGAACCCTTGCCGGGAAAGGGGCCAGCAATCATTCTGAGTAATGACAAAAATGCTACATTTTATTACCCCTCAGGACTTCTCTTGTATAATGGCATAAGGGCTATTATTGGAAATGCTCTTACTAGAAGTGCTATTGATAGAAGCCGGTCTAATTATGGACGTCAGCCGTCCAGGTCTACTGACAAACAAAATGTAGTTTCAACCAATGTAGAAAATATAAAAAAACAAAATACTGGAAACCTAATAACCTCCCATAATCAGCCGTCCAGGTCTATTGACAAACAACGTGAACCACCACGAAACCAAGGTTCTCGTAATGGTGCTAAAGCAGCATCGAATAGATATGAATCACATACTAATAGTCAAACACAGTTTGTAGATGTGAGTTCACTGCGAGGTTATCGAACACGCAATGACCCCACTATGAACCAAGCGAGACCGAGAGGAGGTGGTCAACGGTTTGAAACTTCCCCGTTGAACATGCCAAGGGACGTTGGTCAGAATATGATACATCAATCCAACTATCGACTAGGAAATTATCAAGACAGGGGCAGTATGGACAGACATGGTCCACAATATGATAGAAAACATGGGAAAAGCCAGTATCCTCAAGCCAGCCAGTCTCATGCACCTAATGAATATGCTCCTCGCAACCAGTATCCTGCAGCATCTAATCAGTATCCCCCCTCAAACCAGTATCCTCCATCTAACCAGTATCCACCACGTGACCAGTATACCGCGGGGTCCAACCATTATCCACCACGTGACCAGTATACCTCGGGGTCCAACCATTATCCACCACGTGACCAGTATACCTCGGGGTCCAACCATTATCCACCACGTGACCAGTATACCGCGGGTTCCAACCATTATCAACCACGAGACCAGTATCCATCACATGGAAATGGGTATCCACCCCTTGGTTCCCATTCTTTTATGGATCAACTGTATCATCGTAAGTGGGCTTATTTCAAATATCATTATAATATTAAATTACAACTTATACAAATCAATTTATTTCCACTTTTCTTCCCTACCTAAAATCCGAGATTAACTAAGTCCAATGATCCTTTGTATATTATAGCAGGTATGATGAATCCACGCCCTCCACCTTATGCTACACCCGGGTCACCACAATTCACAGCATGGTTACAACATATGGATGCTATGGGTATAGATACGATGTTTGAAATGCCTGATTCAACAGGTAAGTCATAATCTGATTTGTTTTGAGTAAAGTCATTCGTCATAAAGGATACGAACTATGAGGTGATGAGAGATTTGGGCCAAATTGGGGTAATGGCTACACATTCTATTGTATTCGCCTCGCCAGATGATTTCAGTGTGACTTCTAATAGGCCCAATTTCAGCAACATAGTATTGTAGAAGAAATCTAACTTAGCGGTATGCTAACATCTATCAATGAAAGAAGAAATACGTATATATTTGTATAGAGGTGTGACTTCAACATTATATATTACAGATCCTCCTCTTCCACCACCAACAGTACTACCGCCACCACCCCCACCACCACCTGCCATGCCGCTACATCCTGTCAATCAAGGTAAATAGAGGAACATTTGTATAAATGAATATATCGTCTACACAATATTGCCTTTACATATTTATGGTATTTTCTATGGCCAACCCGTGCTATTTGAGGAATAAAATGACTAGTGCAGCGACAGCACCTCACTGGTTTGCATTTTAATGCCTATCGAATTTGAGTCATTTCGATTCGGGGGGGGGCATATGAACTAAAATTTTACATCAAATCGGCCGGAGATATACAAAAATATAAAGCCATACGTCCGTGAATTTTACTTCATGTTAAAAACAAAGCCAAACGGCCTTGACAAAGGTAATGTTTAGACTGGTTTCCAAATTTCAAAGATATAATATTGAACACAACTTAGGTATCTATGAGATACAGTACAGAAGTTAGACTTTTACTGAGACCGGAAAACAATAATAAATGATGTCCATCGCTAGTTTCTAAGAATTATCGACACGCCAGTTTGTTAAAATTTGTTCCACGGATCACATTTAAACCCTTGTCAGGCAGTATGTTTGACATCCCTTGTCTAGGGAAAAAAGGTTTTAGGGTATAATATCATAATGCTGTCAGGAGTTACCTCCCATATATAGTGGACACAATGGGGGTGCTCGATTGTCAGTCCGGAACATCCCGAACAGAATTCAGCTCTGTCACAGTTTTGCCAGTCCCGATAGCGGAGGTGGTGTGAGTAGAATTGTGACGTATTTTAAGTACCAAATATGTTTCAGCTGTCAAGATTGGATGAGATATTTTGTTATGCAGTCGGCACATGCGTTGTACTCCGAAATTCTCTATTTCACTAGATTGACACTATTTTTGGAATTGAGATAATTTAATTCCGGAACGTTCAAACGAGTATCCCCAATATTATAATAGTAATAATGGCTGTTTCGTGTAAAACCCTTGAGAAATACAAATAATTTTGTTTGACGAAAACTCGTAACTATGATAGACAGCACGATCTAATGTATAGACATATTTGAAAAGGACAAATGAGTGGTGCTTTATAAGCAGATTGTCCAAAATTCAGCGTCAATAATACGATGTTTTGTTGTATTGGACATGAGCTACTCTGTTGGGTGACACTTTGTAGTTTTCACTTTGTCGGGTTGATCCACGGAGCCAAAATAACCCGACTGTACATCGTGTTAACTCGTATATTTGACTGAAACATGGTAATGTTCAAACTATATCTCTTTTGCTCACAATATATTTTGGATAATCATAAAATTAATGGTTGAATTAAACTTCATTCCTATATTTCATTTCAGTAGCTCCCCATGGTCCAGTTGCTGCTCCAGTTATTAAACCATATCCGAACACAGGTTTGCTATATATTTAAAATCTTCTAAAACAAAAATGGGAAATACCAAATTGATTCTTGTTCAGTGTAAAAGAAGGACATCACAGATAGTTGTAATAAGTTAATCTAATAAATATACAATCCAAGTGTGTCCTAATTTATTATACAAAGAGTCATACAATACAACGTCAAGTTATAAAAGTTATTTCTATTGTTGCAGGGACAGGGGGTACTTTACCACAAGGTCACATATTTGTTCAGATGAGAACAACAGAAAGCACGACCACCATGCCACAAACGAATACAAACACAAATAACAACGTAGATAGTACCATGCTCAATGCAGTTTTAAAATCAATGAAAGCAATTCTGGATCTACACGGTTCAAATACAGCAAACAATGTCGTCCAGAGAGGTCCAGATGGCGGCGTTAGACAGCCTGTTACCAGTCTCGGCGCCTTACCTAGCACATCTACATCGAATAAAATTGGAAACCCAGTCGTAGAAAAGATTGTTCGTCGTAAAAAAACGAATTGGAGTCCTTCATCGCTAGATCTGAATACAGTTTTATCCCCAGGTTCATCAGCTCCTGCATCATCAGTTCCACTTGCCAAAGAAATCAGGACTGAAGCTTTAGGCTTACCACAGGGTACAAATAAGGTCTTAGGGCACATTTTCCCTTTGGACAATAGAGTTTCGAATCCTCAAAAAGAATCGATGAAACATATTGCCAAAACTCCGAAATTGTCATCTGTAGTTACGTCGCATCAAAACATTGGAGAACCAGTCGTAAAGGAAATTGTTCATCGGTCTAATGCTTCAGGCTTTTCACCGGGTACAAATGTTGTGGAACATATTGTTCTTTCAAGCAGTCAAGATTTTCATTCACATATGGCACCGATGAATTATGTGGTCGATGCTCCGAATATGCCATCACCTGTAGCGTCGCACACCAACGTTAATAACAAACCAATAAAATTCTCGATAGCACCATCACAAGAATTATTAAATAAGTTGTCTTCCCATTTACCTACAGTTTTACAATCATTTGGTAGAGAACATAATGTGAGTACGGCGCAAAATACGGGTCCCGCAGTTGCTGACGCCGTTCCTCTCAAACCCCTAACAGATTTACACCAACCAGTACCATTAGTACACAGATTTCCATCTAGTAATAACCGATCAACTGTACACCAACAAAACATAGCAGATATCATCAGTGATATAAACAGCATGCGGGCAGAGAGTGCATTGAATCCTGGAAAAGATATAAAACAGATCGAACAGAAGTTTATAAGTGATTCACTGCAAGAGATCAATGCTGCAGCCCCACAAGGCAGTTTGGGTACAATAAACACGCACCAGCCCTTAGTATCTGTTGATTTGCCGCTGCAAAACAAGTTATCTAGTATAGTTCAGAATCATCCATCTAGTCTACAAGCACAAAGCAGTTTTGATACTGGTGCAACTTTTCTCGAGGGAATCGCTTTTGGACAAATTCCAGCAGACCAGATTCAACAAAAGACGGTCGGAAGTACACTTCATGATCTTAAAACGATTCCAGAGGCTACAATGAAGGATAAAACGTTTGTAGTGTGGGAAGGAAAGGCAGCTTCACAGAAAATAAATACTCTACCACTGGCAGCAAATAAACAAAGGACTAACAATATCACTACTCTCTGGACTGTAGAAGAAAAGTCAATATACAAAGTCCCCACTAATTCAACAATAAGTCAGAAACCAGCTATTCCTAGCCAAAATGCTTCAATGATCGCGTCTGGTGGTCACGGATATTTAGCAATGGCGAACTTCCATAAACCAGAAGCTACAGGTTTGTTTGTGTACCATTGTTAAATTAGATATAACATATTGCATTTTTATAGTGAATCTAATTACAGTACTTAAAAAATTCCCACGGCCTAACTTTTATAGTTTTGAAGCGGACATATTAATTCTATTTTGTTAGTAAAATGTATGTTTGAACAAGGTTGGTGTTGTTTTTAGTTTTCGTGCATTAAATCGTTACAGTTGCTACTGAAACCACTACTACATCAATCATAACAGCAGAAGAACCAGTAGCTGAACCAGGTATGTCATTCTTGCTAAAGCACCTGATACCGCTGCTTCTTTGTGCATTTTCCGCCACTAACAATTTTGAGATATTATCAAATTATCTGATCTCCTTAGCAGATATTCATTTCAGAAATAATTTCTTTGTGCCTCAAAGACTCCACAATGTTGACGATATGGTGTCTATCGGCATAAAAACGAATAGGTTTTGCTTTTCTATCCCTAATTACGGACGGATATTGTCCAAGGGGAAGAATAGTCTTATTTTGTCTAGAAACTAGTGTACCATTTCTCACTTTTACAGGAAGTTTGCATAGTTAGCAATGCAATTCATGTTGTACTTTTTAGGATTATGAGAAGTCTGTCGAGATAGGAGAAATTCATATTGTACTTTCTAAGGGTGTGGGAAATCTGTATGGGTAGGAGTAATACATTGTGTACTTTCTTAGATTACGAGAAGTCTTTATGGGTAGTAGCAATTTGTTTTGTACTTTCTAAGGTGTTTGGAAGTCTTCATTGGTAGGTTATACAAGACGAGTTTATGCAAATCTATTCAGCACAAATCATGTGTATTGTGTATTTCAGAATATGTTGGTATAAGTGGAGACTCCTCACACTACTACTACTATTATTATGATGATGACTAAATGCAAGGTAAGCTTTGGGGATTTGCGCTTACATTTATGGATGTTCATTGGAACAAAGTGGCATTTATGCTTAAGCAACAGCAACGGACATGCTGCTCTTTTTGATCGGCTGTAGTTTCTTTGTTTCAAAGTCTTTCAGAACTTTGGACCCTATGGCGAAAACAATTTGAAGTATTTGTTAGAAATCTTTAAATAAAATATTTCTGTTCTGTTTCAGAATAAAAAGAGAGTAAAGTTTTATTTTTGTAAAAATACATGAAGAAAAGAGGACATTGTATAGAACATTGTAATGCGTAAAAATGGGTTATTTTTTTATTTTAAAGATATGAATATAGTTATTTTTGTATTTCGAAAAATTATTTTTGTAAGAATACATGAAGAAAAAAGGACATTTGTATTGAATTAGAACATCGCAATGCGTTAATGGGTTAAACTTTTATTTTAAAGATTTGAATATAGATTTTATTTTTGTATTTAAAAATCTATTTTTGTAAAAATACAGCTTGGTTAATAGTATAATAAAATATATATCAATTATTATGTTCGCCTAGTTATTCCTAATAATTGAGAGAATGAAATAACTTTACAAGCTCAATACTGTAATGGTTGTAAAACTGATTCTGTAACACTATTAGTTATAACAGAAGATTAGTTTAGTAAATATAGTATTACATCGGGAACAGGAACATAAATACACAGGAACATAAATCAAACAGGAACTTCAATATATCGGGAACCTAATCAATAACTGTAACACGGTTCATGACTATGTTGCGACATCTATTCCACAGTTACAATAATTTAGGAATGCAGCACATACAATACAACACAACTAATACAACACGTGCAATACATCCATTCATCCACAAGTGATACGTCAGAGGCAATACAATACAGCCCATACAATGCATACAATAACTCAGACAACACATTCTTGAATTATACAGCCAAAACAATACTCCCCGGGAAATACACACACACACAACAGCCCGGACAATTCATTCCGGAAATACAACCCAGATATATAGTAGAGCCAAAACAATACACCCATGATATATAACAGCACATACAATACAACCCCGGCAATACATCACCCACAATACAATACATACAACCCAACCCCGACAATACACCCCAGAAATACATCCCCAACAATGCAACCATCCACAATACAATACATACAACACAGCCCCGACAATACACCACCGACAATACATCCCAGACAATAGAACCCTGACGGTAAATCCTAAGACAATACATCCCAGACAATACAAACCTGACAATACATCCCAGACAATACAACCCTGACATCCCAGACAATACAACCCTGACATCCCAGACAATACAACCCTGACAATACATCCCAGACAATACATCACATACAACACAAACCCGACAATACAATTTACAATACAGCACAAACCATACAACCACGACAATAATGTAATCTAGGCAATATATCGCGGCCCAGACAACACAACACAGGTAATACATATTGGGCAATACATTCTAGATAATACATCACAGATAATACATACTGGACATCAAAGTCTAGATAATACATCACAGATAATACATAGTGGACAATACGGTCAAGATAACATATCACAGACAATACATACTGCACAAGACAGTCTAGATAATACATCATAGACAAGCATTACTGAACAATACAGCACAGATAATACATCCCTCGGAATATAAAATAGACAAAAGAAAAATGGCAAATAGATAAAACAAAACGGACACAATCCGGAAAATATAACATAGACAATACAAATTGGATCACGAGTGGATGATGTAATGCTACTGGAACACTTGAGCATCGCATGCACAAATGTGTCATTGAACGTTTTGTTACGAGATCTCGGTTTCCGTTCTAATCTGGATCAGGCTGCCGTTGCCCCTGACAATAATGGTCGCACCGGAAGCTCACAAGGTGTTTCTCCACATTTGAGATCCAAAATATATTATGATTGATTCGTTTATAAATAAGACTTACATTACAAGTCTATAAACTTTATTATTACATATTGCATTTCGCTGACGTTTCCCGCAATCATAAATGTTATAAACATCAAAGACAAGACGCTCCATATGCATCCAATATAATTTTATTAAAATGAATGACTTGAGGACAAACAAAACAATGTAATGCCACAGTTTGAACTAGGTCCCATGTTTTTAGATTCTAAATCACATTATTCTTTGGCCCATGAGGGTGTGTGTGTTGGGGGGGGGGGCTAGCGATATTGTTTATAGAGGCTCTTGTTCTCCATGAGGTCTTGTTCCTTATCCAAAATCAACCCCTTGCTAAACACAGATTATTATGCTCAATTAACTAGTGCATAGCAGAATATTGCTGAAAAACTAATTGCGTGACAAACGAGGCTATCAAATCGAAAACAATATAAACAATACTGCTTGGAGACGAACGTACTTTCACCGTTTTTAATACCTTAAATCACTGTCCATAGTTTATGGGAAGACCCAATCCAGCAATGGCCATGGATCTAAGCTTAAAATTTTAACTTCCTCATGTTTCTTAAAATAACGATAACATGAACTTGTCATTATGAAAAGTGTTTGATGTCGCTTGACAAATGGGTCAGGTCAAAAATAGACCATCAAGACAGGTTCATAGCAATAGGAATACACGTTTTGGTCTTTGGGGATTTTGAGAGAGAGAGAGAGAAATGGGGTTTAATGTCCACTCTACACAAACTGGGTCATTTCGGGACTAACATATGGTTTAATTTTATTTCAATAATTGGCTTGTGCGTAGGGGTCTTTAGCAGTGGGAGGAAACCGGAGGACCCGGAGAAAACCCACGAGGTTGGACAGGCGACCCTTCTCCTTGTCACGTACAACCGGGGATTCGAAACCACGCCAGTTAACTCAATGACAGGCCGTAAGATACAGCACGCACGTGCTAACCATTCGGCCATCCCCCCCCCCCCCCTGGGGATTTTGATCAAATCGAGGTTAGTGTTTTGGTCGTGTAACGGGCACCACATATTCCCTTCCCGTATGCCCCCTACCTACTGTTTTAATCACCAACGCATTAATTAATGGAATTGGCATAAAATTCCCTTTTGAATGAAATACATATCCATGGATGGACTTAATGTAGGAGGCCCGTGAGACTGGCCCCGCGAAATAGTCACCACTCAAGAGACTGATTTTGCTCTTTACTCACAGACTCGTTCTATTTCCATCCCAATATATCATGAAAAAACAATGTAATTATATTGGATATTAGTACTAGTAAACTATTTTTTCATGCGACAGATAGAAAAGGATTGGCACGTTTCCCCATGAAATTGGTGTCAATCGTTCTTAATTTTTAATACATCATATCCAAAGTTTTTGATGTTGTACCGGTTCACCTGAATAATTGTGTAGGAAATCATAAATCAATCCGAATATTTAAATGTGAAACCATCAAAGTCGTGACTTGTGTGATTTTATGACCGTCTTCATAATATTATCAAGACAGATGTGAAGTTGTTTTAAAAAATGTTTGGTATAAAAATCATCATCCTGTGTTGACGGGCATCATTCTTGATTGATCTAACTAAGACGAAAGGTAAGTTGTTATTTTTTTTAGGCCTGTTAGCAATGAGGAGAATGAAAGCGAGTTAAAGAAAACGGCGTTTAAATCTTAGCGTTTAACTTAGGAATCGGGATTGTAATGTTGCCACCATCAGGTTTTTGGTGCCTCCGTAATATTTGTAATTTGATAATAAACCATAAAATTAGAGATTTTTTTTTCGAAATTAAACAAATTTACATTAAGATTAAAAATAATGTTTATTCATATTAATTGAATATTTTCTCCTACCTTTTATAAATTGCAAAATCTTTGATCAGATCCTCCAAACTTATTTAACGTAACATATTTACGTGGCATCCGGTCGTTCTGTTGGGATTTTAATATAGTTCAACAGAGGAGCCTTTCGTGCCCTCTTCACCTGATGCCCGAAGCAATATGGCATGGTACAAGGGATTGATTCCAAAAATAAAAAAAATATATATTTTACAATGTATTTGAAAATTGTCCATAGTTATATGAAATTGTATTTATATTAACTTTCTATCCATGTTAGCTCTTCAAATTGTGCTGTCTATTTCATAATATCTTTGTTCGATTCTTCGACTAATTTTGACTTCATCATGGGAAGTAAATTTGAGAAATAGAGGTTGTCTTATGACAGTGTTGCATTTATTGAGGAATATTAAACATTTGAAATTAACAAAAAAAATATATATATTTTAGAGAAAAGATATCTTAAGATTTAAATGTTTCTTCATTTCAAATGGATCTGTATTTCTTTACATTTAAATAAATGTCTTGTCCAATTTGTATTTCGGGGATTTGAATTGGTAATATTCCATTTTTTTAAAGAATCGTAACTGTGCAGTGGTCGAGTTCCAAACTGTCATACGCCTACACTTATCAACACTAGGAACTAGGAACATTATTTAATATAGAAAAAGAAACGAAACGAATCTATATTTAATTATTTGTTTTATTTCTAACTTCTATTTTGCAGTTTAGTCTGAAGCGCTGTTCATCATGTGGTCACAACTCACCTTTCGTCTTTTGCTAATAGTAGCCCTAACGTCTGTTACATCAGCCTTCTTTATTCGTCGTCCATTTATTCCACATATGTTTCGTAAGTATATATTAATTCACTTTTAGGTCCCACTTTAATGTGATTTTATTCATTACAATTACCGCCATTTACCGAGGGAGTGACAATCGGCTGTGGCGACGAAAGTTAAACCAGTACGAAATGTCCGACTGATTCTACTGACGTTGCGAATACATCAGAGAGAGAGAGAGAGAGAGAGATTCGATACACACTTAGGTCATTTCGAGACTAACATATGGTTCAATCTTATTTCAATAAGGGGTCTTTAGCAGTCAGAGGAACCTAACGAGGCTGGACAGGCGACCCTACTCCTTGTCACGTACAAGCGGAGATTCGGAACCACGTCACTTGACTCAATGACAGATTTTATGATCCAACGCGCACGAGTTAACCATTCGACCACCCACACAACTGCCCATACACCAGTGCTTGTACGTATTACATGGCGCTTCGATCCCGCGACATTCGGACTTCCGACGTTTCGGACACGGGTTGCACGACAGATACGACTTGATACTCAGTTGAAAGGATTCAAAATGCGATCTGTACTAAAAGTAAGCATTCAAAAGTGAAAGAGGAAATTCTTATCTAAAATGGATATTTTTGTCGAGAAAATCTATTATTTAAACATTTAACCTGAAAATCGTACGAATTCCAATTGAAACTGTCAAGAGAGAACTGTGAAAAGTTACAATGGACAAAATTGTAACTGACTGTATTCTTACATAGCGCGATTCAGAACTCATTTACATGTATATGGGATTTTTTTTTAAAGTGTTACCAGCGATGATTCTTTGCATAACAAGAGATATTGTAATCAAAATGTGATTTTAATGTGTGGCACGGACGACTTGAATCCTTATGGTCGAATATTTGTCCACTATGTACATAGATGTGTTCTTTATATTTCAGCATTCGCACGATTTCCAATTGTTCGTCCTATATTGCCACATGTTGGATTTCCACCCATCGGTTATAACAACATGTTTAACGTACCATTCGGTGGAGGTGAGTAAAGTTCACGTAGTAGTCGACCGATTAGTTAAAACACTATGAGGTATTAGCCAATGAAATCATATGTGACAGCGACTTCTTGGCGTGCGATTCACGGAACTGTGGGTCAACCACTAGAAACGTCAACGCTGGTTGAATAATCAATGTCTGACGTCATAGGGTCAAAAGCCGCTCGTACGACTCCTGGCGGACGCGACCTCCCAATAAAACTGGCCAGATCTTTATGTAGTCTCGGACACCTAGAAACTCCCAGACTTCAACGTACGGAAGATAGTGGTTTGAATGATGGAGACTAAAGGAATCAATCAATATTTGTAATAAACTCAAAATCATCTGAAAAGACAGTGTTATGCTGGTACAGTAATTAACTGATTAAATAGAGTACGATGGGGGTTTTAAATCAATATAAACACGTGTAAACTTCAAATGGTCATAACTTAGGATTGGTCCATTTGAATAACATTTAAACCATAATATATGCACAGAATAAGTATTAGATTAGCCACAATTGCTGCGCAGTTTCAGACAGGGAACAGGGATGCTTTTAAGGAATCTGAAGCACTGGGCATAGAGGGTCCTGGAAGGTTGTCTCCCTTGTGCGCGAAAAAAATGAAAAATGTTTGAAATTTAATTGGCATATCTTGGTAGAGTTTTCGGATGTGTACGCCTTGTGGTTTGTGTTACAAGTGTGATGTTTGCCTAAATAGTACCAAAAGTGGGTGATGTTTGATCTTATCGATATTGCCCAACGGCTTTTACTTTATTTTCCCCTCCACAAAGCAGTTTGGAGGTTTTTTTTCAGCAATGGGTTTGTCCCACTAGTAACTATGCTAATAGTGTCCTGTTTTCAGAGTTCAGTCTGTGTCACATTTTTTTTCAGTTGTTCCAGGTCTTGCGGGCTCCGCCACACCTGACGTAAATGCACACACCTCTGTAAAACAGGTTCCAGGTGGTGTTTCAATAACAAATACCAACCCTAATTCATATGTCAGCGTTGTTACTGATATGGCACATGGTAAGTCAAATATTTATGGTATCTGCGACTATAAGTGAATCAACGGCACAAAATAATATTGGATAAAATCAGCCTGGGGTATGGCTGTTTCTTGCATAACGCCACACTCGACGTTCATACGTGTTAATCATCAAAGGGCATATTAGGTTTTTCGTATTTAAAAGTAGATGATGAATACAAAGTAACAAACATGCAACGACTGGATTGTTCAATCGTAACTTAAAGACCCGATGCGTAATTTCATTTAGAGATATAGGAATCCATTGTACAATACAGTATTCAGAGGCGGATCCGAGGGAGGAGGACCCTAAATTTCGACAGTTCCCTTTTTTACTGCTGAAAGTGCCTTTTCTCAGAACCAAATATGTCCGTTCCCAACCCGTTGCAGGGATCCCAAATGACTCAAACCATCGACTCAAACACGCCAGTCTGGTCTAATTAATGCTTCCACTTTCAAACGAATTCTTGTTGTTTAGCTGACGGTGCCCTAATCATATAGAGTGACTATAGACAGACATCAATGATAGCATCTTGTGGAATGGACAGTACACAGTACAAGTTACAAGGCTTAAATAGTGAAGTGGTTATATAGGGAATAGATTCGTCTTTTTTCCCATCATGTACCAACTTTATATATTCCGTATTTAAGGAGTGAAATATACCATTTTAACAATAACTCGCTCGCCTTGACAATTTTCGAGTCGCATGTTCAACTGGCTTTTTTCTCGATTTTAAGGCTCTTTTTCAACGATTTCCGAACGTTTACTTAGACGAAAATATCAGCCAAATAGCTCTTGGAATTGCTACAGATGCAAGAAAATGACGGATAATTTTCTTGGGGACCCCCCCCCCCCTAAAAAAAGAAAAAAAAAAAAAAAAAAACCCTCTCAGCGGCGTACCCCGTCTCCGCGGTCAGTGCCCTCATTTTGCGGCGCCCCCCTTTCATAATTCCTAGATCCGCCCCTAGTATTGAGAAAACTTAATTTCTAATGGGAATATCAGTTCAAAATGGCTCAGTACCGTTCAGTATTTACAAAGTTGTGATAAATTGGACTTTCATCGATCTATGCTCCCCGGGCGTAACAAGACGCCGCCATTTTTTATCGGGCCTAGTGTAAATCCGATTGAATCCAAGTCGAGAGATTATCTAGCGTTGGTATTTTTATTTTGTTTTCTTAAATCGGCATTATGCAAGAGCTAAATCTGTCTATTGCAGGTCTTACTTAATTAGACATTTAGTAACATGACAAGACCCTAATCAACTCTCGATGCCATTGCATTGGTACGATTTTAAGCAGATTACAACAATACGGTCATTTAATGATTTAATTTAGAAATAGTGAAGCGATGCTAAGCCTCGAACAACCAGTACGGTGGTTACAACCAGTGCACACATCTAGCCAAAACTTCAACGGCTATAAGTAATTTTAATGAAATTTTCAATATATTCTTTTTGCATTATCTATTTTTGAACTATTAAAGCAAAACGACAAGCTCTTTATCTAATTCTTACACAATGCTTTCATTAACTTTTAAATAATCTATCTGAGTACATATTGAGCGTGTATTAAGCCGTGAGGAATTTGATATTTTAGCGATAAAGGTAGTAAATAAAAGGGCTGAATTAATGATGCAATATAGTGTATTGTTTTGTTTTCTTTCAACAGGCGGGCAGAATGGCAACGCCGGTTCGGTAACGGGAACCGTAGTGGGTAGCGTTGTAGATATGTATGGTGCGAAAATAGGAGATGTTATAGATGTAACCGGTAAAGGCTTAATAGCTCTTAATGCCAGTGACAGGACAATACTAGGAAATATTGAAAACAAGGGTGTTGAAGGTCTATGTGTTATTGACCAGATGGGTGAAATTATTGGCAAAGTTGAGTTACATCCAGGTTACAATCAAGGTAAAAGAAAATTTTTGTAGTGGTAGTTTTGACCGGATCGATTGTTCGAAAAATTTGTATTTTATCCTTAAAACGAATATAACTGTGCAAAAATGATTGTCAAGTGATGTATGGTGTTCTAAAAATAGTCAGAATTCCCAACCTCGTGCACAACATCCGTCATGTCTTATAACTCTATTTGCATTGTGCGTTAGTTTGTGAGTTCTGCTTTATATGTCTTGTCCGTATATTTGTTTTTGTGTAAATTATGTGTGGTGCAGTCCCCCTGCACTTACTATTGAGAGAAACTTCGGACAGGATGTCAAATTCGAAACTACTGCAATAACCACAAGTAGAGAAAACTACTGAAATTGTTAGATATTACCGCTACTCATCTTGATCTTGTTCTTGGGGGCGACATAAAACATGGCATGGGTAAGACGCTGGCTCGCTAGCCTGGAGGTCGGGTGTTCGATCCCTGCATTGGCCGAGAAAGTTCATCCAGATTTTCCGGCGTGGTTCCCCCTTGTCAGTGATGCAGGACGGGGGGCCTGACAAGGACAGCTGTCTAGTCCTTCGGATGAGACGAAAAACCGAGGTCCAGTGTATACATTGGAATGCACGTAAAAGATCCCTTGGCAGTTGGAATTCGATAAATTATAAGAGTAGGCGCTAGTGCCGCTGCCCGGGCAAAATTTCCCTCATAGCACACTGTATGGCGTATGCCCGTCTTCATTAGCCCAGTATAGGAGCAGAACAGTAGGACGTTAAACCCCATTTCATTTCATTTCATTTGAAACATGGCATGATTGTTCCTTGGACAATTAAACATCGATTGATGGTCTTTTTTGATATGACGCCACAATTCCAAGATGGCGGCGATGGTGTCATCTTTGGTTGCTGGTCCATAGTTCAGTCTTACTTGTTCATACATTATTTTTGTTTTGTTTCGATCTTTGACCCATCTTCATTAGCCAAGTCGGAAATGAACAGTAGCACGTTAAACCCCATTTCCCTATCCAAGATGGCGGCGAAAAAGTCCTGCTCGGTTTTTAATTGTTTTGTTTTTATTTATCCATTCGTGAGCATAACGGCTATACATCAATGTTATTTTCAGTGTAAGGAATACTTACTGGTACAGTACAAACTACTAAACAGAAACAGGTAAGAAAGGGGGGAAGGGTGATTAATGTTAAATTTTGACTTGGGTGTTTAATACAGTTCACCCAACTAAACATCACGTCTTGCTCGAATGCTCATGGCGTCTTGCAATTATATTTACATGAAATTGACAATTTTTAAACTATCGTGTTCGATTGATTTGATACCGCTACAAGGGCACCCGAGAAACCCAAAATAATTTATTTTCAATCCGGAGTCAAATCATGTCAACGGTTCCCTTTATTAGGTCTAAATTGTAGAAGTATGTCTATTGTGTTCATATGTTAATACTCGACATATTCTCCAGTCAAAACTATAGTTTGTATCGTCAACGATTATAATACTATCTGCATTAAAGATAAATTTAAAGAAAAGTAAGCAAAATTGAAGGTGCATTTTGAAATATGTAACATTTATACCCAGAGCTGGTCGTTCCTGTTATAATAGTTCAAAAATAGATAATGAACTGGGAATATATTGAAGAATTCATTCAAATTACTTTATTCTGAGCGTTGTGAAGAGTTATTAGTGTTGAAAGGTTTGACAAGGTCCAGCGTAGATTGTTCGTTATCGTAGCAACGGTACTAGACAATCGAGTCCTAGTCTCGGTTATCCTTTTTATCGTTAGATTTTTTAATTTCGGCCATCCGATAATCTAGAGAGTTGAATACAGGCTTGTCGTGTGAATAATAGTTTATATAACATTTATTGGTTGGGGGGGGGGGGGGACTCCTTTGTGAGTTTTAATAACTTTTGTCCGATCCGTTTACTTTAAAGTAATAAAATATGTTTAAATCATATAACATTTGAATCCAAAATAAAGACGTGCAAGAGGCAGATTTCTCTTTTACATAATGCATCTTTAATTATAATTGCTTTATCAACATCCTTCGTGTAAGGGATTTCCTGGGTGAGTGCTTAATATTTATTCTTTAATGTTATGGTTTTATTATTTTCAGGACCAGTGCTTGTTACGTTCCTGATCTCACTACAAAAAATACATGTACATATAAAATGATAAATTATTGTTAAAGGGGGTTTAATGTGGCTTCAGAATAACATTTGGATTATAGGCCGTGGACAGACTTCAAATTCATAATGAATAAGATCAATCGATGAAGAATGGCCGATATACAGTAACTTAATGTATGATGAAACTGTAATAAAACATTATTTTATAATAATATGGTTCTTATTTATTATCTGGAGAAATGAGAGACAATTGGGGATCAGGATAGGAACACAAAAACGTGGGGTTAAACACCTCGCCAGCACTGAGACTAACTATGGTTATTATTATTGGGGGTTGGGGGGGCTGAATGGTTAGCGCGTGCGCGTTGTATCATTAGGTCTGTCTCTGAGTCAACTGCCGTTGTTTCTATTCCCCGGTTGTACGTGACCTGGAGTAGGATCGTCTGTCCAAGTTTTCCCTGGGTCCCCCGGTTTCCTTCCACTGCTAAAGACCCCTTCCTACGCGCAAGCGAATTATTGAAATAAAATGGAACCATATGTTAGTCCCGAAATGACCTACATGTAGTTTGTTTTGAGTGGACGTTAATCTCTCTCTCTCTCTCTCTCTCTCTCTCTCTCTCTCTGTTATCATTAAAACGTCTTCGTGCAATACCTGGATCTGGATTGTGGAGTGTTTCGCTTACGCTTCGTCTTCTGCATACTAATACAAAAGTTAAAATGGCTGAATGAATATGACTCGCCCCCCCCCTCCCACACACACACCCAACACCCCGGGCGGTGCTGGATTTAGGCCTGGTAGGCTGAAGCCTATGGGCCCAAGATCTAGAGGGCCTCCGGCCAAGGTGTATAGTATTTTTGACACAGTCACAAGCCTTTCTTATGCACACAGTAGTCTTAAACATCCGTCTCCATCCTCTGGTTTGCTTAATTGTGTTTTAAACACACTTTCATCTTACTCTAGTCGTGAGGGTGGAAAAAACTGTTAGGGGTTTCATAAATGAAAAGGAATGGCCTAGGGACTCTCTTCATCTAAACCCGGTACTGCTCGCGGCCTACTCAAAAATCTCTTCCATCTACGGAAACGGGATCAGATCAAAGAACTCTGAATAAAAGAAACGTTGATCTCTTTATATCCAGTGTATGCCTTAACTGCGACATGAAGGAAAGTACAGGGTATTTGAGGAATTCAAATATTACTTTCACTTCAAAAAAACGGTCAAAGTATGTGGGATGACGGTACTTACGGAAACGACGTCAGTAATTTTTGCACATAACATACGCATTAATTAGGACACGTGGACAATCCATTGGAGATAGTTATAAAGGGAAAGGAATTCTAATTAATTAATAATTGCTTTATTGACATCCTTGTATCAGACATCAAGAGCTCATTCGTTAAGCTCGTTAAACACCAAATAACAGACGAACTGTTACAGTACCTGTTGATCAAGATAGCCGGAGGGTGCCGATATATCATCTTCGACATGTTATTGCCTTGATACCTATTACTAGCCACACCTGCTTACCTCGTAGCAAACATTAAAAAGTCATTTCTTACTATCCCCTGTGACAGGAAGTGAGAAATTAGACTGCGTTTTGTCATCCAAACTGTCACCTTTGAACGACTGGATCTGTGATGTTATGACAGTCTCACTAAAATCTGTCGAAGTTTATTTGATATAAGTAAGTTACGAGCTTTTTTTTTCTTTCAACTTTTATGAAATCGAACAAAGTTTTATGGTTATTTATTGTATTATGTTGGCGTCATCTATCTTTTTTCTATTTTTTACATGCGAGATCAATATCCTCGTGGACTTGTTTTGATCATCAAATAAATACAGATTTGAATGCTGGGATGTCATCAAAATGTAATTTTGTCGCGAATTTATGGCAATAAATCTCTGATCGGCTTTCATATTTTTTCGAGAAACTTTATCGAAACATAACAAATTTTAATCCCGAAATGTTTTCTTTTGAAAGTGGAGGCGTTAATTAATTGATCTCTCTAGCTATGTATTCAAGATCACTTGAGAAATCCTATATAAGTGGAAACGAATGTCATGGACTAGGAAGGTTAAAACACATTTCCTAACACCACACATGACCCGGATTTAAAATTATTATTACATGTCAAGATGAAAAGCCGGCATAGTGGAGGAGATGGGGGGGGGGGGGGTGATAGACATTTCGCATCCAAACGAAAAGTGTCGTGCACCAGGTAGGATATGCTATCTCCAGAGCTCTAGATACCAGAGGTGTAATCGGTGATAATATCAAGTAATGGTTGTCTACCTTTAGTCGATCAGCTTTCTGCTTCTCTTTTTATTATTACACTCATTGATTCTGGATAATCTGTTCTTTAATCTGGCGACCTTAATTAGCCCAGTCGAAACAGAACAGTAGGACGTTAAACCCAATTTTATTTTATTTCATGTCTTTAATCTGATCGTTTTAATTCACAGGAAAGGTACTAAAGGGATTATCTCATAATGGGATTACATGGATTATATCGTGTTATTATCAGTGTACTATTAATATCTGTTACCAGTGCTCACTACTATTTTTATAGTAAGTACATTTACTACTTTCTGAACACCCGACAACACTTCACATAACCTGGGTATAAGTAGTGACATTTAGTGATTTAACTGGAAATACACAGGACACATTCCGTGGAATACATTCACTGGGTGACGTATGCGACAAGGATTCTCTAGTCCGTATCATTATCAAGCAATAGTGCATTTTTTTAAAAATGAGACATTGTATGTACTAGGGGGTTGTTGGGTGGTCCAGTGATATAACGCGCACGCTTTAGAAATTTGGGCCTGTCACTGGGTCAAGTGGCGTGGTTTAGATCCCAAGATGTTGACACTATACGTGTTTTGTTAAATTTCTGACCACTTTTGTGTAGTTGTTTTGTGAACAGAGAGAGAGAGAGAGAGATCCACGAGGTTGGAAAGAGGGTACACGGGGAAAACCCACGACGTTTGACAAGCTTGGGATCGAAACCACACTTGACTCAATACAGTACAGTAATTTGTAGACTTAACGATTTCTTCAAAACTCGATACATCTATCAGTAATTTCAAAAAGTTCAGAGTTATATACGATCTTGAAGACAAAATCAAAATTATGGATGTATTTAATTGATATATTTCAGGTTATTGGAGACCAACATTTTTTGTCAAACCAATTTATCATATTCCTGTAGTGCCTTTTATAGGTGGGTACATTATAAAATAATTCAATGTTAAGTTGTCGATGACAATACTATCGAGGTGTGTAAACCATCCAGAGACATTATCAAACTTAAAATGACCCAAACTTATCGTTCTACTAGGTTTTGGACTAATATTATTTTTATTAAAGATGCATTATGTAAGATTTAGATAAGGGACTGGTCGTTATTTTTATAATAGTTAAATAAAAATGAATATGTTGAAAATTCCATCAAATTACTTCAGTCTGGGGGTAGTTATGACTCTTTGAAGATGTAGCGTAGATCGTTTATTATCGTAGGAATGGTACTTGTCAATCGAGACTGTCTCGATTATCAAACTTAAAAAAATGAACAAAACTCATCGTTTTATTAGCTAGATTTTGGACTAATATTATTTTTCATTAAAGATGCATTATGTAAGATTTAGATAAGGATCTGGTCGTTTTTGCTATAATTGTTCAAAAATAGAAAATGGAAAATTAATATATTGAAAATTTCATTCAAATTACTGTATTCTGGACGTAGTTATGACTTAAGATTTAGCGTAGATCGTTTATTATAGTAGCAATCGTGCTTGTCATCCGAGCCTAAGTCTCGATTATCTATTTATCTCGCGGGTGTTCAAATCCATTTATATCTAGACCATCCGATGAACTAGAGGGTTGATTATAGACTTGTCATGTTAATAAATTTCTAAATAATAGTTTATATAACATTTAAAGCCAAAACAAAGACCTACAGTATATTATCATAGAATCTACATTCTACATGTCATTGGGCATCTTTACTAATTGTAACTCTTTAAATTTCAAAACACAAAATGGTTAAAACATAGAATTATTACATAACAAAGTTTTGTAAAGATATCTTAGGTGGTTCCTATGATATGCTCCGTAAACGGAGGAACGAAGCCTATAAGTTCAACATTCCTTCGATTTTTCGGCAGGAGATAACGTGTAAGCTATTGACGAGTACCAGTATTATATTGTCATCTGAATAAGAGTTGAGTTGTTTATGATCACGAAAGTCGATAAAATATATCTTCACGGTGCAATAAAATGAAATTTCGAGTTCCAACTATTAAGTACACGCCGGCGTCTACACGGGACCTCGGTTAACGGTACTATCCGAACGACTAAACGCTGTTCATTGTATTAATACCTTTCCTCTATTCCAGGATTCGGAGCAACACCCTTATTACATCACACACCTGCTGTTCACCCTGGCATCTTCTCATCTGGTATACTAGGTACCGGAAATATCTTCGGAGGTTCATTATTAGGTGGCGGAAACGGAAATCTAGGTGGTCTCCCCATCTACAACACACCTACCACCACTGCGACTGGCGGAACCCTGATTATTACCGGTCCGACTAATGGTGGAAATATTGTCAACAACAACCAGCCCGGTGTAAACATTTTAAATCCTAACAATGGAATAATCCGGGATGTTTATCCAGGTGTCGGGACCAATCCTGGTTTCATTTTCAATCCGTCGGGACCTATGGATACAGCTGTACCCAGTCGGGGGGACGGGGCAATGGGTTAATTTAATCAAATCAATATTTTAATTTTTCAATGTCTCTAATTCAGCATCCATGTGATCAATTAAAAAGTTCAGATATTATTACCTTGATATCAGCCTCAGTCCTTCGCGTACTCTGTGTATTAGGTATGGTGTAATGCTTACCAATTCCAGAGCACCCGATATCACCTCTCTTTGTTGTTACTTCATATTGGATATCAGATTCTGTGGTATGGTAGGAAATCTTTCCTCTACAATTGATTACTGGTAGGCGTGCTTTTAAATGAAATGGAATGGGGTTTACGGTCCTACTGTTCTGCTCCGACTGGACTTATTCAAGAGTCACCAATATTCAAGGTCGGGGCCACTGGATGAGCTTCAAAAACAAAAATACCTTGATGACAACAGTGCAATATATTATATCCCACATATTTGAAGATCTGGAAACATGTCACGAAAATATCA